GTCTAGATCTTAAGAAAGGAATACCTTTTGTTTTAGAACATCAATGCAAAATCCTCTTAGATATTAAAGAAAAACAAAGATATTGTTATTTATGCACTTTATGTAATAAAAAAGTGAAACGAGATCGAGGCAACTCATTCTGTCCCACCTGCAATGAATAAACCTAATATAAATTGGGTTATTGTCTCAAGGTCAAAATAGTTGATGCAATTTCAGAAGATAATTAAAATACCCATAAAGCGATCATGTTCGAAGAAACAGCTAATAATTATTTGGGTATTTAATAATTAATTATGTTCAGGTATTGAAGCTAATGATTTTTCAAATCAGAGTCATGATTCCCAAAACGAACATTTCATAAGTATAAATGATTAGAAATCTCATATTGTACATTTACTTAAATTATAATACAACCTATAGAACGAAAATTTCATCATTAACAAAATTCTACCCTTAATCACCGAATGAGTTCTATCATAAGATTTGAATTATTAATATAATCAAATTTGATAAATATCTATTTATATATTTATAATTATTTAGAATGATAATAATTTTATAACAGTCCTATATTAAATGTTATAAAATCATGCTTTAGCAATTCTTCCATTTAAGAAATCTAAGAATGGTGGAGTTTGAACCACTTATAATGCTTTAGCTAAGACTGCTAATTCTTATTAAACAGATGACTATATAAATTTGATATGAATACCACAATATCATCATGTATTTTAAGATTGGCTGAATAATTATTATTTTCAGTTCTTAATCTATCTTAATAAGCTTTAAGATCAGCTTCTCTTGTTGATATCATAGTTTAAACATCAGATATTCTAACAGTTTTATCTTCTCTTTCTTAATAGAAATCAGCATATTATTAATCAAATACAGCTTTTTCAGATGTTAATTATTATCTTCTTAATTCATCTTATTATTTTTAACTGTCTTCATCTTTATAAGCTTTAGTTAAAGCATCAAATATATTTAATCTTAAACTATTTAAGAAATCACACATTTCCTTTAAAACTTATCTATCTTTAAAATTAATTCCTTCAGTTAAATTAGTTAATGCTTAAATAAATGAAGAATATTAATGTCCAAAATTTTCAGTATTAGCTTTAACTTATCTTAATGCTTTATTAACTTTATGTTTTTATTCATCTGTAATTTCAATAAATGCAGCTCTTACTTCTCCACTTTTAAATAAATCAGTTAATAAATCTAATGCTTCATCAATATTTCTTAATGCATCTGTAAATTCAGTTGTTGTTAATACAAATGAATCATGTTATGAATTTCTAGCAGCTTCAGCTTCTTTAAATGATTATGCATTATCTGTTTATTTAGCTTTAAGTCCTAATAAAATCTAATAATATTTATTAATATAATATATATACATCATCTAATTCATGAAGTCTTGGAATCAATTCAGAATTTAATACTTTCTTTTCTCTATTAATATCAAATTCAGCTTAATTAGCTTATGAACTAAGTGAAATAACTTTAGCATTATGTTCACTTTCAACAACTTCCCATTGTGTATTTTCTAAATTCAATCTTTCTTCAATTTGACGACCAAAGGCTTTGACTCCTTCTACTAATGAATCTACAGCTCCAGTAACTCTCATAGTAACTTCAGCTAAATCAATAACCATATGTCCTATCTTTGATTATGTTAATTCATCTATTGAAGATTACAGTCCTGGATTTACATATGAATCCATTACACCTTAATTACTTTATTAGTTAACTAATCAATATCTTACTTTGTAACTGTAGTTGCTGAAACTAAACATAATAACATCACTGCGCTATATAATCTTTTCATTAAATTCGTTTTTGTAATTAATGATTAAATAAATTTTCATAAACACAACTTCTATTTTATTTCAAATTACTATATGCAAATTTGATCTGAACCATTCCTATTTTATTCGTTAATTTTCCATTACATTTATGCTCTAAGCTATTAATTTTGATTCTTTGCTACTTAAATTTTGATTTGAGCCCTACTATTAAAAATTAAGATTTGGCATAAAACACTCTTATTTTTACTAGTCAAATTTTAATAAATTTATTAACTACAACAATTTGTAGTTTTATTAAGCTTAGATTAAATGGTAAATAACTGTTTAATTTACTTATATATTGTTTAATTATATTGAATAATCTGAATTAAAATTTATATAAAATAATGTTAAAGGATGTTTCTCAAATCATAATGTCGTATGTTGTTTATATTGATAACTTTAAAATTAATTATTATATAATAACAAAATTATTATCCCATCTAAAATTTGAATAATAAAATAAACAACCCTTTTTTTTATTTCTTCAATAGTGTGTATATCACTCTGTTCTTAATTGGAAATGAAATATATTTTTATTTAATTTTCACTGAAGAAACTATTTATAATGTAATTAAAATTGTATATACAATTATTTATTAATGATTAAATAGCTTTCTAGATTCTAATTAACCATGTAGATTACAAATAACTGTGCATTTCATACTAAGATATTAATTATTTAATTAAATAACTTTTATAAATATATATATATATAATTTTTAATTTAAATTAAATATAAACTAATCAAAATAAAAATAAAAAAATAATATAAAATTCTTGGCTTAATATTAGTTCTTTGTGATTATAGTATTCTTGATCCTAAGATTTTCTTGATCTCCATTATCACTCATCAATCCAAATCGAATGAGTTAAATAAACCATCAAATTTATAAGATAATGTTAGATATTTGATATGATAGGCAAGTGAACCTTTATCCATCTTTCGATCTGGTTCTTACAGAATTCTGATTGTAAGATTACAAATTGAGTATTTGATTTTTTAAAGAATATTAAATTGATCTGTAATTGTTTATGAGCAACATCATTTCATTTCAAATTAATACCTTTTCTTAGTTATGAAAATGGAATTTCATATAGCCCTAATTTATTTTGTACATAAATACCTTTGTTCATGTAATGAATATACTAACCTCCAAAATTCATTACAAATTTAATACAATCAAATTTCTTTTTATTATCGCAACGGAAGTAGGAGAATCAGGTAATTTTTAAATTGAAGCCCTTTAGTTTCAGAGCCTGAATGATTCCTCAAATTAATTAATAATAATTATTTATGTAAGATATTCAACATGAATTTAAGATATAATATTTATGATACATAAAATTAGGTATTGAAAAAAATTGTTATAAATTTATCATATAAATGAAAAAATGTAATTATAATTATCTAAAAATATTATATAAATATAAATATAATGTTCATTAATTTAGAAAAGGATTTAAAATGCTTATAAAAAAAGAGTTAGGAATACCAAGAGATCACATAAAAATATCTAGTAGCGGATTCTGGAGTGAGAGTAATGAATGATGCATTTAAATAAATCTTGAATAAGAAAAAAAGTAATTTACAATTGATATAATTCAGGCAAATAATTTTTTTGTAAGAATTGTCCAAAAAAGTTTCTATCTTTTCCTGCATTGAAAGAGCATGCAAAAAAGAATCATGGATTTTAACCACTTCAAAATGGGGAAGCAAGAAAGAGAGGAAGACCCAGGAGAGATGTAATAAAGCCAAGTGATTAATTTATTGAATGGGAGAAAAATTAAGGATAATAATAACCAAAACCTAAGAGACCATCATCTCTAATTACATTAAGATTAGAATCAATTAAGGAAATGGGTTTTGGTGGATTTTTGCGTGTATATACTAATAGTAAGATTAGGCACCTAATTTATAATCATATCCATCAATAAAGGATTCCATAACAAGTTTAATAAATAAATTAGAGCCATAATTAGAGGAGAATTATATTTTGATTGGACTTGAGGAAATGAATAAATATTATGAGGAGGATTAAGAATTTTATTTGGAGAAGAATTATAATGTTAGTTAGTTATTGGTTTCATTTTTAATAAATTTAACAATGTAAGTAAATGATGAATTACTGAGAGTATTCATCACTTTTACAAAAGCAATATATTTTTTCATTGATAATTTTGCTAGAGATATTTTATTTAAGTAATTGTCTCCAGAAGAATATGGTGTAATTTGATTATATATAAGTAGTTGATTCCACCAATATGTCCTAATAAGAAATTTCATGAATTAATGACAATATAGACATTCCCATTAATATTAAATGATTTCTTAGAATTTTTACCAAATTTTTAAGAAGCATTTCCATTGCCATTTGCAGCAAGAATATTAAAAGAAATTTGTGATTGGAGCACAGCAGAATGTAATGGATTTAAAGTGTATTTTAATCTTTGAAAATATATATATTATGATTAAGAGTCAAGCTTACTTTTTATGAGGGAGAATGACTTTTTATTGATTTTAAACCATAACTTTTTTTGTAAAGATTGAGAGTTCATCCAAACTTTTTTTAGAGATTCCATCAATAGATTATTTAGCAATCTTTCCTTTAGATATACGTTCACAACTTCTTTATTCTTCGATTGTTGTTGTGTTAAGTGATTTTCTTATAAGGATCTTCTTAATAAGTCTATCAATATTTTGATTATTGTTATCAATCTCTTCAATGATAGTGAGACAAATCTTAGCAGATAATCTATTTGATGGATCTATTTCAAGCATATAAGGTAACAAGATAAAGAGTTACTCCATTTTCATAGAATTTACTTCTGGATGCTAAGGTTGCTTCTTTAATTCGAAAAACCCATCTTTGTTTACTTGATAAATTGATTATTTAGCTGATTTAGGATTAAACAGATTTTCACCAGTCAATCTAATATTATATTAAATATATAATATTTACAATTTATAGAGTAAACATCCAAGACTATAGATGTCAGCCTTCTCATCATATTACTTGTCTTTATTATAATTAATTATCTCAGGAGCCATATATCCAGGTGTACCTGATGTTGGAAAGTTCAATTGATTTTTAATTTTCCTTGCCAAACCAAAATCAATCAACTTTACTGTATCTGCTTTCATAATATTGAGTGGATTAATGTCTCTATGCATCACTCCCTTGTCATGGATATATGAAACTGCTTCCAACAATTCCTATTATTTAATTCAAACAGCTTTACTCTCATAATTTTAATAGTTTCTATTATGGATAATCCATACTGTCTACTAGAGAGCTCCGAATATAGGGTTCTGCCATTGATATATTCCATTATGATATAATAATATTAATTATCTGTGTATGTTTCTTTAAGTTTCACTATGTTTGGATGGGATAGTGAAGATAAGAGAGAGAGTTCATGAACTAATTATGGCTAATTAATGTAATATTTATAAGGATTCTTACAATTCCACCTTCATGTTAAGCAATCTTCAATTTATCAATCTTTTTGATTGCATAGTATAAATTAGCATTGTCAGCAGCAACACATCTATATACAGATCCTGTCATACCACTTCCCATCTCCATTTAAAATTGATAAAATGAAAGGATTGGCTGATAAAATATTTTCCCTGCAATCATTTCTTTTAGTAAATTGAGTTTTGATCCATAAACTATCTTATAACCATTATTATATGAAAATTCGAAACCCACAATACGTTTTTCTTCCAAAATCCACTTAATAGTAGTCGTGAGATTCATCTTGAGATTATACTTAGGTTATTTAGTGATGTCCTAATCAATCTTGAAGTACTTCATACATCAGTCATAACAAGTTCTTCAGAGAACAAATACAGAGAATAGTTTTTATCCTTAAAGAAATGTTTTCTTGTGACCTGAACAGTGAAAAGAGCGTTCTCATAAGATAACATAATTATATTAATTCATAAGAAATCATTATTTTGCTGACCCCATTATACTAAATTTAGATTCTCCATATTAATTAACTCCAAATAATATATTTATTATCATCCTTATATTATTCCATTATCAAAATAGCATTCCTTTTTAGCAATCCTAAATTAAGCATTAATTAATTTTCTTAAAACTCCTCAATTTTTATCATTTTTTAAATACAATTCAATCAATTTTCAAATTCATAATATGATTGTCATATTAATTCATTTGTATACTATTTATAAACTTCATTAGATTTAGTATTTTCAAATCATTATTATAAACTTGATTAGCCAGTATATTCTTAAAAAGTAATTAAAATAAGGTATTCTAATAATAGAGCATAATAATGTATTCATAATGATATTTAATATAAAAGAAGTAAGGGGTAATATTTTTTATAAGATTTATAAAATAGAATCTAATAGTATTTTATATACCTATTCAAATTTTAAGTAATACAAGTAAATAATAAGAAAAATTCAGATTTTCTAAATAACAATTAATAATTATATATACTAATTTTGGAACATCAATTCATTTGATATTTGTGACTATTAACAAGATTAAAGAAATAATAACCAAAATTTAATTTAAGGAAAAATACATTAGAAAAAATTTGTATATAAGTTAAATATTGTTTAACAATTTAAATTTTTGTATTTAATAACTTATAATTTTTTGATTATTAATTTATATCTAATTTAATGCAATACAATTATAATATATTAATTTATATATTACAAAGATATTATTAATTGTTTTTAGTATATTTTATAGACTTATTTGTATCATATCATTTTTTACATTTATTACTATAAGATCTAATATGTAATTTATATATAAAGATATTAAAATTGAATAACTTAAACGTTGAAAAAGTTATCAAAATTCAAGTAAAGAATAATTATAAAGGATAATAAAATAATATTAATATTTTTAATTATTCTAATTATAATTATTAGTTTACCTATTAATTAACTAATGAGTAATGACTCTTATTATACTAATAGTAATGGTTATTTTCAATATGAATATTGATGTCACATACAAATTTGTCTATGATTCTAAATATAATAATTATGGAAATTCATAATTATTCTCAATTTTTAACAAATAATAGTAAAAAAGCTAATTTTTTATGATATTTTTGGATAGTTTATAAATAATGGATTAATTCTTTCATTTTTGAGAATTTTTAATGTTTAACCAATTTTTGAATCATATTCGAAAAGTTGATCAATTTGGAGTTATCTTTTAACCTAAAATCAAATACTCTACTAATGAGTACAAGACTGCTATGGGAGGAATAATGTCAATCATTCTTTACGGATTGAGTTTCGGCTATTTAATATATAGTTTTGTGTAGTATGGATAAGGGTCTATTCTTCCAAAAATTACATCTATTTAAGCCAAGGCAAGCCAATAGAGCATATCTTTTGAGAACGAATTAATGTCATTCAAGATCAGGCCTGGGGATGATAATTAAATAAATCCATTTGATCCAACGGCTCTAATACTTGTACCATTTGTGCTCCCATTTTTGAATAATGAAATACCCTTAGGTTAATATTTGAACTTTGAATAAATTTCATTTTAAGGAAATACAATCTCCATTCGGAATTTGAAATTATAATATGGAGATCCTTCATCAGTAGAAACAGAACAAATAATTGCATTTGTAGGATGCAAACAAGCTGATATACAACCACCATTCGCTTGTGCAAATGAGAGTATAAGGAATAAGTTCTTTTCTTAATCTAGTAATGCAATGATTGCAACTACTTAAGTAAATTAATTCAATACTGATAAAAGAACTTTGGAAGAGGTAGGTAAAGAATAAGTTTTGGCAATAGTTGATAATTCAACATATTTTTAAACTACGAATTTGAATATTTAAGAATCATCAGTTGATACAGGATTTTTATTGGAATCAACTGAGAAGTTTGTTTATGCTACGGATTATTATTTAACAAGTTAACAAATAGATTAATAGTATTTTAGAAATACATTTAATTATGATGCTTATTTAGTGTTTTAATTGAGAATTGGTAAATTGAAATATTATTAGAGTATACAATATCCAAAAATTAGTGAAATTTTAGCAGATGCAGGTTCAATTGCATCCACAATTTTATTGTTATCCTATTTTGTTATTCTTTGTAATTAGACTCTTTTGGAGAAACAATCTTTGAATGATATAATTTAGATCTATTATCCATCATATAAGGATATATAGATTAAGAAGACTTTTTATGGTTAGATAAGGGAAGTGATTTATAAGGGGAAAATATAAGATTTAGAGAAATTTAAATAATATTAGAAGGAGTTATAGGAAAGAGCAGAGAAGAAATTAACTATTATAAATTAAGTTTATGAGATTTCTAGATTATAATTTATAATTTAAAATATTTTAAGATCAAAGGAGTAAATAAGATAGAGTCATAAAATTGGAATTAAATTAAAGTAATTTGATATACCTAAATTGATAAATGAAGAGAATTTAAATGGAAATTAAATAGTAATTATATAATATAATTAGATACCTCATTCATAATTAAATTTTTCTACTTCAAAATTAGTAGTAATTGATAGTCAGAGTGATTCATTGTAGAATCTTAAAGTAAATTAATAAAAATAATAAAAATATAGAAATAATAATAGTAGAATACAATAGAAGAATCTAATGATGAGAATCAATTAAATGATGAAGATTTTGAGATTCTAATTTAACCTAATGAATTAGAAGAATGAAATTATATTAATTATTAGAATAATATTATTAGAAAATAATTAATTAAAATTACACATGTCCACTTTATAGTATGTGAGAGAAATCATTAGTAAATAGATTTCAACTCTATCAAATCCAATTGGTGAAGATAAAAAGGCATTAGGTAAATGTTAACACTTATTAAATTAGAATCTGAACCATACCACAATTTACAAAAGTCAAGTGTATTATTAGAATCCAGGTGTTTCAATGATCCTTAATTATAAGACAAGAAATGTAGATAAATACTTTCTAAATTAATATATCTAATCAATTAGGTAATTGCTAATATTAATATCTATATAATAGGGTGAGAAATTCAATGATCAAGAATCTTTGAGTTTATTTTTTGGAATAACAAAATTGTTTTCATCAAATAATGTAGATTTGAGAAGAATGATTTATTTAATGATTAAAGTAATCTATTATGATATATTTATTTTAGGAATTCAAAGATGAAAATTCCATGTATGTTGTAATCAGTTGTTTGGCTAAAGATATTACTTCCAAAAATGATCTCTTTAGAATTAATGCTTTACGTACACTTCCATATGTTCTTGATTAATCTAATTTAGTTTAATTGGATAGATATTTGAAGAATGTATATTCTTATATTATATTTCAGGCAATCCTAGAGAAGAGTTAACCAATTTCTAGTGCTGCTTTAATAGCTGGTTTATAAATTTTTAGAATAAGTCCTGATTTTATAAGAAAGTGGACTAATGAAGTTGCTGACAGACTCAATTCCAAATATCCATAAAATAGTTTCCATGCATTATTATTACTTCATGAAATCAAAAGCAATGACAAAGTCACATTCACTAAAATCTTAACTGGATTAACTAAAGAAACTCTTGTACCTATTGCTAACATGCAAGTAATTAGATTCATAAGAGAAATACTAAATACTGATGAATTAGATTAACAATATGAAAAAGTAAGTATCTCTAATATATTTAGTTATTCATTGAATATCTATTAAGACAAATACACAAATCTTAAGAAATAGTCATTTTTGAAGCTTGTAAAGCATTATGTGATTTAAAATCGCTTTCCAATAAAGATCTTTAACCTATGGTCTAAATTGTTACTGTATTCTTATAATCAAGCAATGTGATCAATAAGTTTGTGGCACTCAAAATATTAAATAGATTAATTTCAAATCCTATTAGAAGATCCCTTATCACACCCTCATAAATTGAACCACTTATATAAGATTCAAATAAATCATTATCTTCATTGGCTGTTTCAATATTATTAAAAGTCTGTTAAGAAACAAATATTGAAAGACTCTTAAATTAAATTTATGAATACTTAAATGATATGAGTGATGAATTTAAAATTGATGTTCTTAGAAGTGTCAAAGCATTAGCTAAGAATTCACCAACCAAATGGAAATCTATTATTAGTTTCCTTCAATAAACCTTTAAATGTGAAGCCTCTTAAGAATTTAAGAAATATTCAATTGAAATCTTTGAATTTATTATTCATGAAATTCCTGAAGCAAGAGAAAATGCTATCATGGCATTAGCTGATTACATAGAGGATTGCTAATAAAGTGCACTATAATTAAGTGTATTGAGTATTCTCAATAGAGAAGCATCAAAAAAACAATGTCCTACAAGAGTGATTAGGATTGTAAACAATAGATTACATCTTGAAGATGCTGAAATTAGAGCTGCAGCTGTAGGTGTACTAGGCAAATTCTTACTTCATTATCCTAAGGAAAAGACAAACCTTATTGAATTATTATAAGCTGCTGCCTAGGATCCTGATGAAGAAGTTAGAAATCGTTCTCGATTTTATATTAGTGAATCTGCAGCACCCAAAGAAGAAAACACTCCATTATCTATAGAAGAATTAGATGCGATTGAAGCCTATTTATAATAAAATATTTAGGAAATTCAACAATCTAATGAAGAGGTATTACAATTAGAAAAGATTATGGCATATGCAGAATAAAATAAGGGAAAGATTAAAAAGACTGAAGTATTATAAGAATTAGTGGAAGAGGAATTGATTTAAACTCATGAATCTGAATCTGGATTTGAAACTTACAAGAAATTATTTAAGGAAAGTACAATATTTTGTGATTATGGTGTATTAAGAAAGTCTTCAAGAGCATAAAATTTAACTGATTCTAAATGTGAATATTTAGTAACAGTTGTTAAACACTTTTTTGATAATCATATAATATTAGAGTATAAGGTAAAGAATACATTAGACAATGTTACATTAAGTGATGTCTCTTTAGAATTGACAATAAAGAATGTGAATCTTTAATTTGAAAGAATTGTACCAGCAAAACAAATTCAACCATAATGTGCTTCTAATATATTAGTAGGATTATAATTTAATCCAAATTTGAGATTAGTATCATCTAATATTCAAAGTATATTAACATTTACAGTAAATGAAAATGGAACCACTTATTAAGATGAATACTAGACTGAAGATTTTATCATTACTTACAGTGATTTCTTCTTACCTATATAATGGTTTAAGTAATATTATTAATAATAAAAATAGAAAATTTTAGACTGAATGGGAATCTCTAAAATCACAAGAAATGTCAGCTACCTATTAATTGGATTATAAGAATACTGATATTGCAATAAAAGAATTAGTAAAACATTTTGGTATTTATTTAAGATTTATAAAATATAGGATTTTAAATTTGTGATAATTCTGATTAAATACAAACATAAAATAAATTTCATACTTTATTACTATCAGGTAAATATTTGGATGCAAAGAATGCATTGGTGATATGTTAGATAGGATTTTAATAGAATATAGGATGTGTATTGAAAATTAAGTGTAAATCTGAAGATGATAATTTAAGTACAAACATTGTTGAAACCCTTGGTTGATATTATATTAAATACATTTAATATGATTTAGATGGAAAACAAAAAAATTAATGGAAAATAAAAGAATAATAATAATAAGCTTTAAAATTTACACAATTTGGAAATATTTTTAATATTTCAATGTTTATGGTGTTTCCTAAATTTCATTAATACATATTTTTACTTGTTATGCTTTCTAGATTTACTTCTATCTTTTTCTTTATCTTTTTTCTTTTTACTACTTTTTTTTTTACTCTTATCTTTTGAATTATCTCTACTTCTAGATCTTTCTTTCTCTTTCTCCTTTTCTTTCTCTTTCTCCTTCTCCTTCTCTTTCTCTTTTTCTTTCTCCTTTTTTTCTTTTATCAATTTTTCCTTATCTAATTAAACATCTTTAGCAATATCCTCCTTAAATTCTTATTTTCTAGCTTCTTCCTCTAAAATCTTTTCTAATTGCAATCTTCTTTATTATAATTTTTATAATTCAACCCTTATAGTAGAAAATCCTTAATGAATTCTTCCATCTAAATGAGTCCTATTATTTAATATGTAAAATACTTGACTTTATTCTCTGTTTCATAGAGTGATTATCTAGCTCCACAAACTTCACATATTTTATAAGTTTTGAATGGATTATTAGTACCTTCATATGCTAATAATACATCTTCTCTTGCTTTTTTAAGATTATCTGCTTCCATTATTAATCTTTCAGATTCTTCAATCTTACCCTATTCTCCCATCTTCTCACTCTAATCTGTCAATAGATTTATCTATCTTTCCATATTGTCAAGTCTATCTTGGATCTCTTTTGGTCGATCAGCTACTTATAGTTTACTAGATTATTCAACTTATTCTTCATGTTTAGTTAAGATTTTGTCAACTTCCTTCAATTTGTCTTGGATGTAAGCTAACATATTTATTAGGTTCATACTAAACCTATTGCCTCTTCAATGTATTTCTTTTCTCTCTACTGTTTTTTGATACTCTTGTCACAATTGAATTCATTAATAAAGAATTGATCGTGTCTTTTACTACACTCTCCCTCATGATCATATTTGGTATGCTTCCATAGGTCGTTAAAACACTTAGAAACCAAGATATTTTTGCACACATCTTCATTCCAATAGTGAGCATCATTCTTCCTTTTGCTTGCTACAACATTTCTCTCTTTGCCAAATAGCTCATCTAGAATATAACGAGAATCATCACACATTCTTTTAATAAATATTTAAATTAGTTTCTATCTATATTATATATTGCTTAAATCATAAAGTCAATAATCTAATAGTAGATTCCCCAATTACTAATATCTTATTCTACACAAGACAAAAGTCATAAACTTTAAAAATAGGTATCTATTTGCATTGATTACTAACCAAATCCCATTCAAATAAATTCTATTTTTGGTTTATGATACATTTCTAATTCAAAAATAGACATTTATTGATAATATCACCTTTGGTCTTACAAATTTGACTTAATTTCAAATCTCTAATAATCCATTCAGATTGAGCATTAAGGAATAGATATTATTCACTGAATTTCATTTATTTTACAATACTTGGACGACAATCAGCTAAGTAATATAATAGAAGTTAAATACCTTTTTAAACTTATTATTATGTATTGATGTCCCATACTTCAATTTAATTTTTGTTATTGAGAACATAAAGTAAATTTTAACAAGGCATTCCAAAAACATCAGCATTAAATTATTATTAAAATGAAACTTTTAATAGTCTCTTAATATTCTCATCATAAACACTTATTCCAGTGATGAAATTTGAATCATCTATTCTTTTGGGTCCAAAAAGATTGAATTATTATGTTGAAGCTGGTTTAAAGTCATAACTGAAAACAGATCTATTGAAATATAATTGACATGTTTTATATTTCTCAACCAACATTTCCTCTTCATTATATTCATTAGTTAAGTAATTCCATTTGACAAGAATAGGATTAACACTCTTTGAGATTTTAAGAATGTATTGAATAGTTGAATTATCTAAAAACATAACTGTCTTAATTTCTAAGTTATCTATTTCTTTTCTTCTTTCAAATTCCAATCTATTATCAAATGGATAGATTTCAATCTCTATGTGAAATATCACTTCTTCATCATAAAGTAATCCACATTTTTGTATGAGTGCTATAAATTATCCATTTGGACTTGAACAACAATGCAAAACCTATTTGACTCTTGCTTTATAAAAGAATTGATTTTCAAGGTTTATATTTAATAGAATGAAATCTTTTTTTTCTTTGTGTTCAGCTATAATGATTTCTGGATTCATTAATTATAAAGAGTAAACACCAGGACAGAATTTAACTTCGGTTGTTTTTATTTTGGTTCCAGTAAGAATGTTCCAAGAAGTAACGATAGCATTTTTATTGATTGAGAATAGATGATTATTGGAGTAACATAATCCATGATGTATATCATCTTTGGAAGAATTCAATACAATTTAGACAACAGCTTATTTATTTTTTAAGAATTTGGTGAGTACAATTTAACCATTAGAAGCAAAGGCAATTTAATCATAAGAAATAGGAGTCCAACATGTTACAGCACATCCATAAGTAGTTTATAATTCTTCTAATTGATCATTTTCAAAATCAACTAAGAATACTTCTCCTACCTTTTTTTGTTTAGCAAATATAAGTCCATTTTACAACATCAAAAGATCATCGCATTCATCAAATTTGTCAGATAAAATCTTTTGTAATTCAATAAGTTCTTTGGATTTAGATACAAAATTATTAAAAATGGGTTCTTATAGATTGGGTTTACCTAGATTAGAGGTTCTCCATAAGGTAATTTCGCCTTCATTGACACCTATAATTCTAGGTATGTATATGACACTACCTTGGATTAGTATGATCTGATACACAAAAGGCGGTAAGTGTTTATTCAATTAAGATTGTCTTTTTATTAGTTTCTGGTTGTATCAAGAGTAATGTGTCTCCAAAGATTAAATAAATTTTATCATGTACTGCAATTAATGAATATGGCATGTTTTCAATTAATCCTTTGTATTCTTTCTTTAATTTCATTTCTTAATCCCAAAGTGCTAATGAATCAGATCCAGAAGTATCACATAAATATCCATTAAATGCAATTAAATTGTTCATGGAGGGTTCTAAATATTCATCTGCAATAGGAATCTAGAATTGGCAATTAAAAAATACTTAATGGAATTGTTAATCTTACACAGTAACTTTGAGTTCAAGATTCAAGGATTCTAATGAAGTTTATTGTTAACTTAATTTTTTATTGATGTGAAATTTCTTTTTTTTAGGTATATCAATCCCTGGTGGAGGACCAATTGATTACTCATCATCATCACCTAATCCAGGAGGAGGATTCATAATATATTAGAAAATTCTTTAATTTAATTGTACACCATATATATATATATATATTCAGAACAATATAATAATTAATATTATCATTAGCATTGCTCCATTATTTGTTTTAATATCAGTTTCTATATTAATGCTATTACTACATTGAGTACATTTCTATGTTGTAGTATTCCAATAAAAAGTATTTAAGGTGTTTATTCTACACGATTATTGATTATAAGTATCTGGTTCTGTCTCAATACATTTACCATCCTTAGATGTACATAATTTAATTTAAGTATCATCTATATTATATATATTATGACATTCTCTCTCTTAAAGATCTTAACATTCTAAAGGAAAACAAGATGTATCAGAAGTGATCTAAGGATTTTCAATCCATTTACATTTTTCTGATAACTTTTAGCATATGTATTTATCTAGATCACTATCAGAACACTCAAGAACCTTTAAACATTATTAACCATCCCAAGCACATATTCCATCTAGACCACCATAATTACATGAAAATTTATTCTCATAATTAGCACAAACATCAATAGCTACACATAATTAACCATCTGATATACAATTTGGCAATTATTTTAAACATGTATCATGAGTGTAACCATAAGGTATATCATTACAAGATATAGTTTTACATTATTTTTTCTAATAAACACATTTTCCATTACTACTTTGAGCATTTAAACATGTTTATTCATTATCATAATCCTCACATTCTTTTATAGTAACACATCTATTAGAATCAGATGTACATCCATATAATTAAGCATTACAAGCTTCATGAGTTTCTCCAAATAATTATTCACATGATTAATCTTTACATTCATTTAGAATGGTATCCCAAATGCAAATTCCAGTTTAAGTAATGTACTTCTAATTTGAATTTTATTTAATGACCTTTCCATTTGAACTAATTCTGCATTATTCTTTATATTTATATGATGAACATAATAATAATGGAATACATCCATTCAATGTATCTGTTGTACATTTTTAGGATGTTTAATAACATTCTTAATGTGATAAATATGGTAAATCATAACATGCTAAGAATCTTTTACATTAACCTAAACTTTCCCACCAAATACAATCTCCATCTAAACCTGTAATACAAGATTATTATATTGAGTAATCAGCACATTTACTTAATCCTACACATTTATTTCCATCAGTAGTACAATTTTTTGATAAAGATTTACAAATTTAATCATATTGACTTGAGATTGTATTACAACCTGTATATAGATAACAATTATTATTTAACCATTTACAGATACCATCAATACCTTTAAGACAAATATCTTCTGTAACAAATTCTGAGCATTTCTTTTTGGTTGTACATCTAATTCCAAAAATTGATGAATTCTAAAATGCACAATCATAAATAGCACATTCTTATTCAGATGTTCCAAGAATATCATCACATATTTATTCTCTACATCTATATGAATCCCAAATGCATAATTTATTATCAGCAGATGTTGTACATGCTGCTTATAATTATGCATTTTCACATGTTGATTTCTAAATACAACCTCCACCTAATCTTGTAGTGCAATTACCTTTAGGATAATATTCTTAACAATCTCTTTCTGTAATATTATATTCTGGTGAAGTATTACATGATTTATTAACACAATATGAAAATCTA